AGTTTGAGTCCCTTGTTGAACTAGTGGAACAATCTCTCGTTAAACAAGTGGGACAATATGAATACAATCAATTTGGGCAAGCCATCACTTGAATGGGAGCCCTACCATGTGGATTTAATTCTTTACTCCTCTTTCTAGGTGAACTCTTGCCTCTCAAGATCATGCAATGCATATTCATGCAATAATGCACATTTAACATAATTCATAGAACGCCACACAATGTCATTGAACTTCACCATTTTATGAATCATTAAACTCCTTAACCACATTTTTATTAAACTCCAAATCAAACAAGTTATTAAACTAAAATTTCAAAATCATTATACCTCACACATTCACAATCATTAAACTCTATAAATTTCAAAATCATTGAACTCCTAGCAACTCAAATCATTAAACTCCGAATTACATAATTCATTGTACTTTATGTTTTTATAATCATTGTACCTCACTCATTGGAAATCATTGAACTCTAAAATTTCAAAATCATTGGACCATATTAAGTCACCACTTCAATAGTGGGATTTTCAAACAAACAAGCCACATTTGCATTTTAATAAAATCTCACACAGTTCAATTATTAAATATTGATCATAAACTAATTCACATTCAAAAGTAAAAGATAAAATTTTTCCAGTTACCTCAAACTTTTAAAAGGTCAAAGGTTTCACCCTTCAAATACTCACTTTCAAAGCTTCCAAGAAGCTTGAATAGTGCTAATAATAGTCACTCTACAAGTATTTACAATGTAAATCATCAATATCCATATTAAAGCTAATTTTCACTAATACTTCAGCTCTTCTTAATGGTCAAGATTCATTCTTGACTCATGTAAAAGTACCCATAGGGTTTCTTAGCTTCTTTTGACCCTCATTAACATCATTAAGCTCTTTAATGATCATTAATAGGGCCACATTATTCTCAACCAACATATTTATGAGGATTTTCAAATATTTGATATCCTTCAACTACCAATCATCATATATTCATAAATACCATGTTTACTTAGCTCAATCTACTTTTATTAATTCTATTTAAGTCAGTGGGTTCAGACCCATAACATCTATGGATCAAAATCACCATTATCAACCAAACCCTAACTTTTACAATTAAGAAAATGGAAGAAGAGAGAAAGATTTAAGTGTAGGAAGCTTACCTTTGATGTTTATGAGCTCTAAATTATTCCTACTAGTTGGTTTCTTCAAGCCTTAGCACAGCTCTTTGGACTTTCTCTTGAAAATCTCTTTCTCTTCATTTTTATGAGCTGCATAATTGTTTATTTCTCTAGAAAAATGTCTATGCATCACGGTGGACGCACAATGCGTCGCGGCGTATGGCACAGAGAGAGCTTCCCAAGTGTTTCAACATATGTGTGCTGTAGCGCCTAATCCACAAGTCGCGTTGCTTGGAACAAAATCTTGCCCCTTCACATTTCTTCATCTTCTCATTCCCGGGCGACCTATTTCTCTTTCAAACCTATGTTTAGGGTTGAAATTGAAACCAAACACGCCTATTAGGCATCTTTGGCCACACACCTCGCTAATATACTTAATTTATCTAATTGGGCTTAATTAATTTGGTTTAAAATTGAGGATATTACAAGAATACTATCAAACATTCTAATAATAGGCAAGTACTAAAAATCATCAATCCAAGCATTCAAACTTTCACTTATATTATTGTCAACCATCCATGATTGGCATCTTGTATTAAAATAAGCACTTACCTAGTGTTGGGAAGGGTATGTCAGTATTGTCTCTACTACCTGCTTGCTAAGACTACCAAGTGCCTTGAGCTTGTCTTTAAACATCTCATCAAATGTACTCTAAGAGCATGTGAAAAAACTTTTTCTTTAATTCTTGGCCTCTCCATTTTTTACTCCAATTTGCATAGGTGTGTTTAGCACACAATCTATGCTCTGCCTCTAGTAAAACTTTCCCAACAACCACATTTAAGCCTTACAACATCACAGAACATAATAGTTAAAGAAATATAAGCTACAAAAAATATCAATACACAAAAAATACCTTTTACATGTCAGAAACAACAGTAATCTTCAAGCCATCACTAAGGTCCAAAGATTTTTGAAGCCACTATGTAAACCAAGTCCAATTCACTGTTTCTGGTTGAATAAGGTCAAAAGCAAGAAGATTTAAAGAATCATTAGTATCAATCTTGGTTGCAGTGAGTAATATTCCTTAAGCATGACCTTTAAGGAAGGTTCCATCAAGGCCAATAATAGGCCTACAATCTCTTTTCCAGCCAACCTTGTAATTTTTAAACTTCAACTACTTAGCTCAGAGGAATAGAATACTAATAATCAACTACAAGTAAAAATAGAAAAAAAGTGTAAGAAAATATTACCTTTACAGCATTGAAATACAAGTACATCCTACTAAACACCCTTTTCCCATTTTCCATTGCATCTTTACTAACTTCAATACTAACATTAGAACCTGGGTTACAGACTCTCAACTCATTACAATAAGCTTCAATATTGTTGAACTTGTCTTTATAGCTACCCTCCATTTACTTCATGATAATCCTCTTGGCACGCTTGTACTTGTGTAAGCTAACATGAAGTTTTAGCTCATCTTCCACATCCTTCTTCATGTCTGAGATCTTGTATTGTGGCCTCTCTTGAACTTTGTTCTTAAAATAAGAAGCTAACCACTTGGCTATGGCTCTCAGGTTCTTGTAAACCCTAGTGCATATATGGTCTAAGCATAATGTCTTCACCTTTAATCTTAGGTTGGATCCATCCTTTACAACATAGATCTGAAAAGGGCAACCATTTTGACATACAACCTTTACCTTATAAGCCTCACTCTTCCTCACCTTTACCTTAACCCCTTGAGTAATGGCATACTTATCAATGGCTACCATAGTTTGTTCCTTATTTGCAAAGGTTAGGCCTACCATGAAAAAGGCCTTGCATCAGGTCCATTATCTCTAGTGGGCCTCCTCACCTCCTCCCAAGGCCTATTATCATGATCCAGGCCTAATTCTATATCATCGTCCTCATCCTCATACTCACTATCCCTATCTTCCTCTTCAGATGAAGTTTTATCTTTCAAACCTCAGAAATCCTCATCTCTATTGTCAGATTGTTCTTCACTGGACAACCTATCATTTTCAGCATTATCATCAACTATAATTCCCTCACCATTGTCTCTAACCTTAACTTTACCTTTAACATTATTTTTGCCATTCCCCTCCCCACCAACATCAAAAAGCCCAAGTTCATCCCAATCAATTGACACATTCTCCACATCAATTATATCTTCTTCGACCTCTTCACCTTGATTTTCCTCACCCACTTTATTTTCTTCAACTACCTTCTGCTTCCCTTAATTACCCTCACCTCTTTCAAGTACCTTCTGCTTCCTGCCATCATCTTCATTGTCCCTTCGTGCACTACTTTCACCACCTCTACCATCATTACATATTATACTTTCAACTATTGACCTATATCTACCATGTAGCTAGTCTTTGACGTCCTCCCATTCTTTGTTCTCTTATCAATTTCTTCTAAATATTTGCTTAGAGGAATCCTTGTACCCATCTGACTCACTCAAATGTTAATATGAACAAAAAAAGTCACATACAATAAGGGCTTAGATGCGATTTCACTATGATAATGAAATGCCAAAGCATAAAATAAATTTGAATTCTTACCTAAAAAGCAAGCGACTTACTGCAACTCTGATCCTTGATGACCCATGAGATTTGATTCCTTTTATGCACTTTGCTTCTCCCTGAAATCCCTAACTCAGCCCTTCGTCGCTTCTCATCCTCCTCGAAATAGATGGCTTTAAAGTAAATGTCTTTAGGATTCGATTCGATTATGGGTTTGGTTCACACGTGGGTTGTGATTTCATTCGTATTTTTTTTAAATAAATCCAAGTCAGACAAGTTCCCAGTGCCACGGGTTGGTTTAGTCAATGAAAAACTCTTGCCACATCCCACTTCGTTGGTCAACAATGATAATTTAATAGTTAACATCGCTTAAGTTTAATGGTGAGTCCACATCGCACCAATTTTGGAAGTTTAAGGGTAACAATGCACTTAAAAAAAGTTTAGGATACTGGCCATACTTAGGGCAAAAGTTTCGAGGCAAATTTGCCTTTTAACCCAATATTTTTATCACTACAATTTTAGGACTACCTTAGTAGATAAGGGAATTAAATTGAATGAAAATAATATTTTTATAAACAAATTTAAAAAATTTATCTATGCTTTCACTTAATAATAATGACTTTTTGTTGTGTACAAGCATTGTTTTATTGGAGACTATTTATTAAAGTTACGATATAGCGCTATTGATAAGCACATTTTTTAACAAGTATTCAATCATTAGTTTTCACATGTGAGCATTTTTCTCGATTAAAATTTGAATATTAATTTATGACTAATTCTTTTTACTAGATTTTTTTAATTTAAATAATAATAATAATAATATATTAATGCATGTGTTGTCTTTATTTTTAAAGGATGAGTTACATAATAAAGGGCCCAAAAAATAGCCGGGAAATTAAGCTGTTAAACATATATGATAGTTCATGGTTGCCAGATATCAAATTTTATTAAAAATTTAGTCTATAATTTATAAGGTTGTAATTCAAATTTTATTGCAAAAATAATTTTTTTTAAATTTGATATATTTTGATAAAAATTTGACTGATAATTCATAAAATCATGATTCAAATTTTGTTATGGACGTGAGAATTTTTTTTTTTCTTATTACTAAATGTAATACGAGAACTAGCTAGTTTGTGTTGGGTTTAAGACCCAACTCACCTCTTTTTTTTTTTAACTAAAAGAAATTGAGAGAATTATATACACACCCACAAGAAAATTAATTATTATAAAATCTATTAATATTAATATTAATAATTAAATTACATTTTGTGCCGTTAATGACCTAAATTTAATGCATAATTAATTTTGATTTCAACATAATTCTCCCAAACAAATTCGTCGCCGCCCGTAAAGCCAAAACCACGTCGTTTCAGGTTACTTACTGGACGTGCAGGCGAAATGGGGAGATGCCGAACGCCTCCGAGCATCAGCATTGCCATTGACGGCGGAAGCAGAAACCATCACTGAGCTGCGCGAAGCTTCCGCCCAATCTGTCTTCCTCCATCGCAGCCTCTCTCTCGTTCCGGTTTCGTCTCTCTCCATCTCAGATCTTTCTTGGCTGCGCTTTCCCTCCATCACAGTCACAGTGTGCATAACACCACAAAATCTGCAAGCATGACAATCCATTCAGTTGTGATTCAGAAACTTCTGAGCACCAATGCCCAGATTGGTCGACGAGTTGCTGCTCACCATTTGAAAGTATACACTTATGGTATGCGCAACAAAATGGTTATGTTTGATTCCGATAAGACCTTAATTTGTATGCGCAGTGCCCTCAACTTCATTGGGTCCCTTGCTCGGCAAAGGGCTCGATTTATGTTCGTCAATACCAACCCTTTGTTCGATGAAATCTTTGAGCAAATGACGAAGAAAATTGGTTGCTACAGCCCCAGTGTGAATGCCCTTTGGCGCACTGGTGGGTTCTTGACCAATAGTAATAGCCCCAAGAAGTTTCGGTCCCGGAGCAAGAGGCTCAGCTTTGGTCCTACTCAGCCACCTGATTGTCTTGTTATTGTGGACACTGAAAGGAAATCAACGGTTATAAAAGAGGCTTATAAACTGCAGATTCCGATTGTAGCTTTGGTTGACTCTGGCATGCCGTTGGAATTTTACAAGCGAATTGCATATCCTATTCCTGCTAATGATTCCGTGCAATTTGTTTACATGTTCTGTAATTTGATAACCAAAACATTATTGCTTGAGCAGAAGAAGTTATCCAGCACTGAAGATGAGTTCTCTAGTCAACAAGCTCGGTATGACATGGCATTAAGACTGTTTTACTTTTTATTTGTATGTTCATAATTCTGCTTTGGCTGAAGTAATTTTCAAAATTTTGGCTGGCCTGTCATTAACTATGGTTAAAAGAGAAGCCAAGCGAATCAAAGAGAAGAAAAGAAAGATTAAGTTTACAAAGGGCGAATTGGCTGTTGTCCCCTATGCTGATATAACACTTGTTTCTGAAGGTAAAGTGTATGCTGACTGGTCATTGGTTTTTGTTTGTCATAACATTGTAATGATCTCTTTTGAAAATAGAACTGAGGAATTCTTGCTTCAAAAGCAGACATAGAAGAGACTAAGAAGCTTTTGGACAAGCTTGTTGTTGTGAAGCTCAATGCTGGATTGGGAACAAAGATGATGGGTTTGGATATCCCAAAGTAAGCATTTCTAATTCTTCAAATTTAGTGTCTACCTGAATTGAATAAATCTGTTTCCATATTTTCGTATTTTAAATAAAATGATGCCTTTTTTTTCCGTTTATTTTTCACTCATATATAGTTTTGTTGTGATAATACAGAAGAATCTCATTTATAGTTGCCTGGGTTATAGGGTTTTTCCAGATGGTTTTATCATTTTTCTTTTTTTTCTTTTTTTGTCGTTCCTCCTCTTGCTGCTTTCTAGTTATTTTTCATTGACTTATGATGTATTTACGCATTGGTATTTGCATGCATGAAAGTGTGCTTTTGTGTTATATTATCTTCAATATTTCAAATTCTTCTGTGCACTGTTGCCTACATGATTCTCATCTTACCTTAAATTTTAATTTTCAATTTCCTTCTAGATATTTCTTACTCATTAGTCCTCTTATGGTCGAGGCAATGAAACTTCTCTGCTCTCATGTAGATCTACTGTTAATGTCAGTGATGGGCTGACCTTTCTGGACTTAATCATCAACCAGATTGAGGTTTGAATGTTTCACGAAATATACAATTACCCTTATCTGGTTAATCATGGCTCTGACTGTATGGCTGTTGGTACTGTTTGTAGACTCTTAATTCCAAATATGAATGTGGAGTTCCCTTGGTTCTTTTGAACACATCTGACATACATGATAATACTTTAAAGGTGAATTGCTTTTTGAGTTTCCATTTTTATTATTTGACATTTAATATTACTAAAATTTACTTTTGCATTTTGTGTAGATCTTGGAAAAGTATTCAACTTCAAGCATCAACATACAAGCTTTTAAGCAGGTCTGCTTTAGTTTTCCTTTCTTTTTCTTTTTCTGAATAAATTGATGTTGGATGTCACCTCATAATTTGTATATCATAATCTGTGCAGGATCAAGGTTCAGAAGTAATATTATCTGGTGACCATTTGGGCAAGGGGGAAGTGTATGTTATTCTTCAAATACCTGTTGCTTCAATTCAAATCTATACATTTATTTGTGTGGTTGTGGAGTCTTGAAATTTTCAGGACTGGTTGGTACATTTGCACATCCGACATACAATGCCACAGTGTAGATTATAGAATCTAATCAATTTTCATTTGGTTGATTTTTAATTTTGTTCGATAGCCACAATAGTTTGAGGAGGTATGATGGAAACTGTAGTTGATGTAAATTATCTTTGCAATTTGGATTTGCCACTGAGTATTAACAATATTATTAACAAGTCCAGTTAATATATGTTTGCACTTTGGTAACGCCAAAATATTATTATAATTATAAGTTATAAATTATAGAAAGAGAAGAAGAGTGAACGGTTGAGCAAGTTCATATGATCAACAATCTCTGTTCTCTTTTTTTCGGCCATAAAAATCTCTATGCTTGTTGTATCCCTAAATTACCCTATGCTAGAGGCTCGAAAGACTTGATCTTTTAGAAGAAATGGATGGATATAATTCAATCACTAAACATTCCAGTTTTTACAATTTTGCTTTATTCTTGGGGAGATCTTGACTACATAGCATAGTGTCTTGGTCCTTGATATGTGTGTTAAGAGTCACACATGAAAGTGTCAACAAGTTTTAAACCAGGATCAAGTGGTGGCAGTTAAAGGGAGAAACAGCTAACTCTTAAACGAAAGCTGTTGGAGGAAGGTGATTGGTTGTCATAGGAAGTGCCAATTGGGCGAATAAATAAGTTTTAACCTAAAGATAAGGAATCTTTGTCTGAAAAAGAGTGTGAAAGAAAAAGTAAAATACAAAATGGAGTGTTTCAAAGCCTTGTGCAACGATGCTGAAAATTGGGAAAGGCATCAAAAAAACAATGGAGACCAAGAAGAAAGCAGTGAGGAAAGTGTGATCCAAAGCATTTGAGGAGTTTTGCCAAAATTTAGGAACAAAGAATCGAGAATGAAAGATTTATAACATTGTAAATGATATGGAAAGGAAATCAAAAGATTTGGATCATGTCAGATGTATTAAAGATAAAGAAGGAAATGTTCTAGTTAGAGATGAAGCTATTAAAGATTGGTAGGAGGGCTATTTCTACAATCTTTTCATGATGGATTAGGGACTGCTAAAGATATGGAAGACTTGACAATTCATGGAAGTGAACAGAATTTGGCTTTCTACTAAAGAATTTGAGCAGGAGTGGTCAAAGAAGCTCTTAAGAAAAATGGACAATGGAAAAGCTTTTGGTCTTGATGGTATTCCTAACAAGGTGTGGAAGTGTTTTGGGTAGAAGGGTATTCTTTGGGTCACATATTAAGGTCAAAGAAAATGTTAGATGAATGGAATACTTTGGTGTCTATATGCAAAAATAAAGGGGATATCTATAACTATGCAAGCTATGAAAAGATGATCTTATGGGCTGGATTACGAAATTATGGGAAAGAGTAATTGAGCATGTATTAAGTGAGATGCCTATCTTGGAGAATCAATTCGGATTTATGCCAAGATGATCTAGAGTAGAGGCTATTTATCTCTTAAGGGGCTTGATGGAGAAGTCTTGGAATGAATGAAAGGACTTTCATGTGGTTTTTATCGACATGGAAAAAGCTTATGATCTAGTACTAAGAGATATGCTTTGGAAAGCTCTTGAAAAGAAAGGAATTCGTGTTGCTTATATTAAAGCTATAAAGGTCATGTATAAAGGGGCAACAATTAGTATGTGAATGCTTGGAAATAATGCAAACGACTTCCTTATAGGAATTGGTTTATGTCGGGGATCATCCTTGAGTCTTGATTTGTTTGACTTGGTTTTAGATGTTTTAATTGAGTCCATTCAAGAGGAAATCTCCTTGTGAATGCTCGTTGAAGATGGCATAGTTCTAATTAGGGAGTTAAGAGAAGAATTTAACTCTAAACTAGAGTTGTGGAGATGAACTTTGGAAGCAAAGGGTTTTTGCATATGCTCATTGCGAATCTTTTCTTTTATCATATAGCCACACATCTGATCTCAACATCCTCATCCCTACTATCCCATCTTTTTCTTGTTCTTGTCCCTTTACTGCCTAGCATTTACTATCTTATGGTATTATTGGGCTTCTATGGTATGATAAACTTTTAAGCTATTGGGCAATGTTTAGGGAAAAAAAAAGGGTGCTCTAATACCATGTCAAATTTTGTATATGTTTTTGCTCAGGTCTTCCTTTTCACCTAAATAACTTTAAGCTGCTTGGTTAGGATTGCTATTAGCTTATATGCCCTTCATTTTTCTTATCACTTCTAGATGTGAGACTATTGTATAACAATATATAATAAATTGGAGTAAGCCGTCACTGTTTGAAAACAGCTTGAGAATACTAACCAGCTTATTTTATTGGGCTTTATGAATAGTTATTCATGGGAAATGAGAATAGTTCCTATTTAAAGAAAGTTTGTTTTCTTTGATTGCAATTTAACTTGCATGGAAATTAATATATCACCTTAAATTAACCTGATTTTCTGAAAACATGAAGGTGTCCTTTTGAAAATGGTGGTGCATTCCTTTCCCTGGCAGAATCAGGAACCCTTGATCTATTATTGACACAGGTATGGATTTTTATCCTGTTGCCATTGAACACTCTTCTTCCTTTGTCCTATTTCTACAAAATGTAAAACAAGCTAGAGCTGTGAACACTTGAATTAAACTACAACGTGCCAGTATTATGGATGTTTCAATGTTCATGTGTGGATTGCACCCATTTTTCTATTAAATTTTGTTTTATATGGTGTTGATTAAATTTTGCATTGTTTCTTATTTCAGGGCAAGGAGTATATCCTTGTAATCAACTCAGACAATGTGGCTACTGTCATTGATCCAAGTATCCTTGGATTTTAATAATTATTACTATATTGTTGGAATCTGTGATTGCTTAACCTGTCAATGAGATTCATTCTTAATTCTGTCGACCTTGACTTCTTGTAGGCATATTAAACTATTTGCTTAACAATAAAATTGACTGTTGCATTGAGGTACACAAAGATTACTGTCCTGCATTATCCTAATGGTCTAACCTCCCTTTAAGGTTTCTGAATTTTCTAATTTTTTCCCCAGGTGACTCAAGGCCATTCATCAGATTTTCACTCACAGCTAAGGAATTTTAAGGTATATGCATAAGCGCTTGCACATTCTAAATTCTTGGCTTTTCATGGAAACTTGTTTCCTTCCGTCTCTTTTGTAACGTTTATGTTGGGCTTGGGACTTGTAACTGTTGGAGAGAATAAGCTAGATCAATTGGACTTCACCATTTAGCGGGTGAAGGTAATATCTACAATAATTTATTTTCTTTATGATTGAGGGATTCCTGTTTCAAGGTTATGTGTAGGTTTCACTTATTGAACTGAACAATTTCTTGAGCCAAGCAATACTACTACTGGTTTATTTGTAACAAATAATGCCTAGATTTTTCTTGTTCCCCAGAAATGTTTTGGGTTCCTTCTCCAATCAATTAACCTGACCCAACCTAATGCCAAATTAATCTCCTTCATTTTGCTGACTTTCTCATTTCCTCCTTTCTTGGATTGTGATCACTTTGATAACAAAATGATGGAAACCTATAGTACAAATATATAAATGAAGCTGTGATGACAATAATAGATCTGGCTGTTGACAAGGCAAAAAAATGCAGAAAAAAGATAGACCCCCTTCCTCTCTACCAGCTCACCCCCACCTTTCCTTGTATAAGATTTTGTACTATAGTTCCTGTGGGTCATGGGCGGATGGGCATGGGTCCACCATACTTGGAAGCTTTGGTTAACGTTACATTGGTTAACGTGACATGTTCTTGTATTCCATGCAGCTTCAGGAAATTGCTCGAAATCCTGATAAACAGGTTTGCATATATATTTTAAAAAATTCTTCGCATTTTTAGCATTATTTTTGTTTCATTTTATTTCTTAGAAGTTTATATTGTGATGACTTGTATGACATGAGCTGATTATGCCCTTCTGTTTTTGGTTTATGCATTCAAGATGAAAGACCAATTTAAACTTATTGATACAACAAACATGTGAGTCAGATCCTCATTTTACTTTACTCTCCTACCACTTATTTCCAGACTTGCTAAGTTTTCAAGTATCCTATTGTTGGGTAGGTGGGTGAACTTAAGAGCCATTAAGAGACTTGTAGACACTGATAAACTTAAGTACAACAATCAATCAGTTTCGAAGGTACGGTTCTTTGACTACTGCTGTCCTTCTATGAAGATTGATCAGAATGAATTGAAGGGCTATTGTTTGCAGGAAAATGACATTGACCAAAGTCTTTTACAAAAAACAGCAGCTGGATCAACAATACAGGTTTAAGTGTTGTTTTTGTTGCTCTATGGTTTCATTGTATTTTGTTCTTGCCTGTTTATGTTTTGCTTGGATTTAAAGTATGACTATTCCTTTAATGTCCATTTTGTTTTAATCATTTTCATTTCAAATAGGCACTAGATAGGCGATTGGAACTGTTTTATATACTTGCACATTTATAATTATGGACAGACATTTTGTCCATATACCCTCAATTTATTCCATATCATAGCGTTTTTTTGAACAGAAGTATGATCTTGGATGATGTAGGTAGAATGTAATGGATTATATAGACCCAATATATTGTAAAATGGTTCTATGCTTCTGATTTTATATCGAAAGAGCAGTTTAACAATCATGTATAGAAATATTTTTACCAATCATGGATAGAAATATATTGCATACTCATGAGGATTTTTTATTTGAACGAACAAATATTTAAAGGGATATGATAAAAACAATTGATAACTGTGGAATGAAAAAAATGGTGCCTGCCTCCTTTTCTTAGAGTGTATAAGTTAATAATGGCAAGAATAAGAAACAAGCTTGTGCTACCTCTCTTCAACCCTGGATACATCTTTTGGATTGCTTTCCTTAGGTCATTCCTCGACTACATTGATATATTAAGTCATGTCAAAATATGTTAGGTTGTTATGAAGGTTTGCACTTGTATAGCCCTGCTAGTCAGTTAGCCTATGTATTGTTCCATATATATCCATGTACTTTTATATTAATGATTAATAAAATTCTTTGCTCATCTCTATTCTGCTTTCTCTCTCTGATAAGGTCCAAGTTAGACTGCTTGAATTCATTATCATTAGGTGATCAGTAAATGTTTTCAGTATTGGCGCACTAAATGCCACACTTCCATTGTTTGATATGATGTCTGCAACTTTCATTGGCATAACTTTACCTGGTGGGAAGGAGAATATATATATATATATATATTTGTCATTTAAGCAGTTAATTATTGCTGTTCCTGACATTGTTATCTCTTCTGTTTGTATGATAGTTCTTTGAACGTGCAATTGGTGTCAGTGTACCTGAATCACGTTATCTTCCATTAAATACAACGACAGATTTGCTCCTTATACAGGTTACATTGGCTTTATCTGTTTGTATATTTCCTATTACAGCAGAGCAATATATTGGGTCTTTGGCAGACTTCCTCTCACTATCATACTCATGCAGTCAGATTTATACACTTCTAAAGAAGGCGTTTTAACTCGTAATCCAAACAGAGCTGATCCTATAGATCCTGAAATTCACTTGGGACCTGAATTTGAAAAGGTCTGAATCTATTAATCTTTCTGTCGTGTCATGACCTATTATTTTCTTTTGTTATGAATTGTATATATTGTCTTCTTTCCCAGGTTGGAGACTTCCAAAGTCGGTTTAAATCCATCCCCAGCATTGTTGGGTTGGATAGTTTGACAGTAACAGGTGATGTGTGGTTTGGAGATAATATTACCTTAAAGGTATGATTGATGTTCCCCTTTTGATACACTACACTATCAGACATTGTTTTCAGAACCGGACTGGATATTGAATCGGAAAGGTCAGCAGTTCACGGTTCGCATGGTTCAACCGGGTTGGACCAATGGTCAAACTGGTGACGTAATAATTAAATTAAAAAAATTATATATGTATATAATAATCTAAATATAAGAAATACATATGAAATTGCTACTTAACTTAAAAAAACAAAATATTTTAAGTTTATCATGACTTAACAAGGCACATGATACAACATAATATCAAATGATTAAAAAAATTAGTCATTTTCTAAAAAAATGTGATAAAAAATAAAAAAACTTTTTTTTAATAGTCCGGTTTTTGAAAACCAGGTCCGGTTCCCAGTCCAACCGCCGGTTCGAAATGGCCCAACCTGGCTCAACCCCTGAAACGGTTTTCTCATATGAACCAAACCAGAATCCAGACCGGTCCGACCGTCCGGTCCGGTCCGGTTTTAAAAACATTGCTATTAGAGTCAACTCTGTTAATCCTTTATACTATTAAATACATAAATAGGGGGTGTGAGGCAGATAGCAGGAATGAGCCCACATCTTCTCTTTGGCAGAGAGAAATTTTACCATTTGACTATATCTGCATTTTTATTATCCTTGATATGTAATATATTGATCCTATTTGCGGTTCATGCACCGTTTCTTATAATCCTCTAGTCCTATTTATAAGGCAGAGAGAGAGAGAGAGAAAAAATTGATCCTGTATATAGGAACACTTGTTAATTTTCAAGGCTCCTCTTTATGTTTTTGCCCTTATGAAATGCTTTGAATAAAAATACTAGTAATGAAATTTAAGAACATTTATTAGGGATAAAGATGAAAATTTATTAATTTTAAGATTAATTTAATGAGGTTTAAGATTTTCCTTGGTTCTGGTGAAACATGCTGAAAGTGACTTATAAATAGAATTAGAGGGAGTAGTTGCTAGATGTATTTGCTTAGAACTTTTGAGAACTGTGCAGAGATATTTTCTTTATTTATTGTCTTTTGATGTTCTTTGAAGACCCCACAAAACAAGACCAGCTCATTTGCATACACTTACACTTGTTTATATGTATGCATGTAAAGACACACATACGGATCACTTGCAGTTGACATTTTGACTTCAAGGAATGTGGTCAAATCAAAAGACCTTTGTTTTTCTAATAGAGATTAGATTCGTTGATGATGAAGAAAAATTGTAGTCGTGAGGACCAAAATAGTTCAATTGTGAAAATAATTGCACTTGAAATATTTCAACTGTCAAGTACAGGTAAAAATTTTGAATTGTAGTCTTTTCCCAGTTAAATTTTTTATCCTCAAGTCCATAACTTTTCTTTGCTATCAAGTATTAACATATCTAGTCTCTATGCTAAAACAAAGACAAAATGGTCAGATTGCATCCCTGGCAGTCATCCCACGTACATGCTCACGAATGAAGAATATTACACATACTTTTTTTGTCAAGGAATTTGAGTTGTGACTTGCATTTAATAAAAATTGTAGCCTTTCCCCAGTTAAATTTTTTTATCCTCACGTCTATAATTTTTCTTCACTATCAAGTATTAACATATTTAGTCTAGCCTCTATGCTATAACAGAGACCGAAAATGGCAAGATTGCATCCCCTGCAGCTGTCTCTCGTTCACACTCACGAATAAAGAATGTTAAACAAGGCAATTCAAATTCCTTGCATTTGTGAATCGTTGAAATTCAACATAACAGAATTCAATCTACATGGAAGTGAATTTATATGCTAATAAATTCAAAATTCACCACCTAATATGCATGATTGTATTTAGCTTAATTATTTGAACTGGGAGAATGATAAATTCAGATGCATTCCGCTCATTTGTCTGTTTAATTTCTTACACATGCTGTGTCAGGGGGTGGTGACTATTGCTGCAAAACCTGGGATGAAACTTGAGATTCCAGAAGGAGTAGTGATTGAGAACAAGGTAAATTACTGCAGTTTCATGAGGAGTTTTTCTGTTTCTTTTTGGCTTGTGCTGCGAGACTTCCATGAGAGGTAGCCAAAGGTTCTCACTTAGCACTCAAGGCAATGAGGCTAGAAGCTAATAAATATTACTGCTTCTCAAGCCATGAGAGGCTCAGCCTTCAACTAGGCAAATGCCTTCAACACCCCCCCTCTTTTCTAAGTGAGTGCCTTATGTACCTCTATTTTGAAGCGAAAAGGTAAAGTTATTTTATAAGCCTAGCCTAGGAAATTTGAAATTAATAAAATAGGAAACTATGAATCCCTACCTTATCTCGTGTTCATAAAGCCACTACTTCCTTCTAGCACTTTGTCGTAACAATTTTGTAGTATAAGCAACTTGGTAAATTATCTGAGGTGTTTCATAATAGTGGCAATGTGCTGTAGATGGACAATAGATGTTTTTATGCTTATGCAATGTTGTTGCCCTTAAGCATCGTGTTGTCAAATGAGCTAGAGCTGCTGAATTGGCACCTTCATGTAGTGTTGAATAAGCAAGGGTTTTTACATCATATAGGATGGGTGCAGGTAACAAAGTTATAGGAGTTATGAAATAGAGACATTAACATGTTCTTTCAAGAAACTAAATGGGTTGGAGAAGCGGCTTTGGAACTTGCAGATTTCAAACTTTGGCATGGGGGATGTAAATAGAAGAGACGGGTTTGGTATCATTGTTGATGAAAGTGGAAGAATGTGGGTAAAGTTTAAAAAGGATTGGGGACAAAATCTTACCTTTAAAAATGATTGTTGGACTTGATACTATCAATATTATAAGTGCTTAAGCACCTCAAGTAGTGGCACAAACATAACTTAAGGAAAGGTTTTGAGAAGATTTGGGGAGGTTGGTTCAAGGCATACACAAGATGAAAAGATTTTCATTGGAGCGGGCGACTTTAATGGCCAAGTTGGTTTAAAGGTAGGACAATATACGAGGGCTCATGATGGTTATTGTTTTTGGGAGTTTAATGATGAAGGATAATCTATTCTTAATTTCCCCTAGCATATAATCTCAGATTGTCAATATTTGCTTTAAATAGTGGGATGAGCATTTAATTTGATACAAAACTAGACCCTCAAGGTCACAAATTGACTTCTTTTTTTTGGTAAAGAATCCTGATAGAAGTTGTAAAAAGTTGCAAAGTGATTCTTGGGGGAGGTGTGACAACACAACATAGGCCCTGTTTGGTATGAAGAATTGGGAGCATGGGATTGGCATTGGGATTGAGTAATCTCATCTTTTTATGTTTGGTACAAAGGACTAAGCATTTCAATCCTAGTACCAATGCTACCTTACATGGGATTACTTAGTACCATTGCCCCCTTGGTATTGCAAAATTAGTCCAGGGATTGATTTTTCTAAGACCAAAATACCCTTTCAACTTCTCCACCTCTCCACCTCCCTCCCTCCCTCCCACCGAGATGAGTTCCACACTTTGTCCAAATCTTGGTATTGGGATTGTAGAACCCATGCTTTGGCCAGAGGTTCTTGTCCAGATCAACTGGAATGATGTCCATGACTTATAAAAGCAAGCTCCGATGCTCACACGTGAGTTTAACTCTGGTGTTCAACCCCTTGAGGAGCTTTAGAAGATGCAACGCAAATCATCTCCCTCCTTCCACTTCTTCATCTCGTCGACAGTCGTTCATGCCGTCGTCTCTGTTGCAAGTCATCTCCCTCCCTCCAGATTGCATGTCCGTCATTTTTGCATGTCCTCCCTTCTCCCTCCATCTACCTCCCTCTAGATTGCATTTGTTTTGAGATTGATAGCATCCAGATTTGGTTCATGAGTTTGATGACATTTCAAATCTGGTTTTGAGATTGAGTTTGAATAGCCTTCTAGATTAAGTTTAAGATATGTCCAAATCTAGTTCATGGACTTCACTAGATTAGGTTTGTGACTCTGATTTTTTTTTTTTTTGGGTTAATGATAAGGGCCATAATAGTCTTTTGATAATTTCTTATTGATTATAAAATAAAATTATTGGAAGTATTTTATCTAAATATTACTCCATATCAAACATACTTTTAAAGCCTCAATCCCATTCCTAGCCTCAGCCCTAGTCTCAATCTCAATCCCAGTTGATTAAATCATACCTTTTTACCAAACAAGGCCATAGGGTTCTAATCCTTGATATGCTTATTAAGAGCGAAAATCAAAAGTACTGACAAGTTTTAAACCCAAGGGTTAGGTGGTGGTAGTTAAAGGGTAGAAAGTGGGAGATTTTCAAATGGAATTTTTTGGAGGAAGGGATTTGGGAGTCACAAATGCTAATATCATGTGGGAGAAAATGGCTCAGAAGGCAATGAAGGTTGTTAAAACAGTGTTGGATGAATCAAAGGGTTTTGGATTAAGGGATAGGAGTTCCGTTGGTGGAATGAAAATGCACAGGAAAAAGTCAAACGTAAAAAAGGTTATTTCAAAGCCAGATATTTGTGCAATAATGTTGAAAATTAGGAAAGGTATTGTATCACTAAAAAAAGAGACTAAGAAACTAGTGAGTAAAGCAAGTTCTAAAGCATTCAAGGAAATTTATGAGGAGTTAGGGGTCAAGAATGGGGAACGAAAGATTTACAAGATTGCAAAGAATTGGGAAAGAAAAACAAGATATTTGGACTTAGTAAAATGTATAAAAGATAAAGGAAAAAAAATTTGGTTACAGATGCAGATATTTAAGACAAATGAGATGCCTATTTTCACAAGTTTTTCAATGATGGAGGAGGTTCGGCTTTCAACTTGGAAGTGAGACAAAGGATTTTCCTATCAGGCTTGTACTACCTTGGAGAACATCTTTGAGTTCTTATTATGTGATTTGGTTCTAGACATTTTAACTAAGCATGTACAAGAAAAAATCCTCAAGTGCATTTTTTTGCTTGCGATATAAATCTTATTGCAGATTCAAGAGAATATATTACCTCTAAACTTAAGTATGGGCTTTGGAATTGAAGGGTTTTCTCTTGAGTAGAAGTAAGACAATATATATGCATTGCAAATTTAATATGAGGCAAGTTAGAAGTGATTTGGAAGTTAAAATGGAGATCAGATCATACAATGGGTGATAAAGTTTGTATATTTGGGATCAATTATACAAAATGATATTGAAATTGATAGGGATATTTCTTATAGAATATAAGTTAGGTGGTTCAAAGAGAGAAATGCTATAGGAATTATTTATGATTGAAAATTACTTAATAAATTTAAAGAGAAGTCTTGTCAAATTGTAATACGAGCAATGCTATATGGTGATGAATGTTGGGTTTTAAAGGGATAATAAGAACATGATGTTGGGATATTAGAGATGGGAATGTTGAGATGAATTTGCAGTCATATAAGAAAATGTAATATTTGTAATGAATATATGTGAGGAAGAGTTGGTGTGACACGTTGAAGAGAAAACGATAGAAAATTGTTTAAGGTGGTTTGAACATATATAAAGAAAGTCATTGGAGGCACGTTGAGAAGGGTACACAAGCCTTATCCCACTAAGTGGGATTGGCTACATGAATTGCACGATGCCATTATGTTATATTATCATCCAAGCTTTTAGGAATATTATCAAACAAGCCTTATCTCCTCACGGGTGCCTCCTGCAGCCTTTGCTATATATCTTCAAACTATCTCAAATGATTTTTCACCATCTTCCCCCCAATAGATGTCATGTTTACTTTTTCTCATATATGTTTATTTTGAATTTTATTTTTCGTGTATGCTCACACATCCATCTCAACGTTATTATCTTTGCTACTCCAACTTTATACTCTTGTTATTTCTTTAGCGCCTAACATTGCCTTTATGGTGAGGAGGGTAAAGTAAAAAATTTTGAATCCTATGAAGATGGGTAGAGGAAAAACTTAATGAGGTTATTGCACTAGACCTTTTGATTAATAATTGAGAAAACATAACTTTATATTCCTGCACTTTGCTTGAATTTATTATAGGTCCCTACACTTTTTTTCAATGTTTTAGATCTTTACACTTTTATTTTTCAGTGTTCTAGGTCCCTCTATAAGCTACGTTATGGGGACTTAGAACACTGTGGGGACCTAAAATATTGAAAAAAAAAAAGTGTAAGGACCTATAGTAAAATTCGAGTAAAATATAAGGATTCAAAATTATATTTTTCATTGATAATTTATACAACGATTTGGTTTTTGATAGAGTTAAATAATATTGTGCAATTCATGTAGCTTATCCCACCTAGTAAAATGAGGTTTCTTCTTGTTGTTTCATAATAGTGGCTCCCTCGACATTGTTAAGACTTGCTAGCCTTGGCCATGACATACTTAAATTACATCTCTCCTGGAATTAATATACTTTTCTTCAGTAGTCCCTTTTACCATGTGTCAGATGGTGTCCACTAAACTCCGACGATGAGGGAATTCGGTACTACAGCCACTCCGGTGCTGAAGTCAATAAAAAACTCTATTTTAGTCTCGACATCACTGATTTCCATCACAACAAAAGTAAACTCTTAGATCGCCCTCCCCTTCCAGTATTTTCTCTAACCATAGTTTTCAATCAACTGACAATAACCTCTTATGATCATGTTTTGGATATTAAAAAAAAAAAATGAAGAGAAACATCAAACCCACACTAGAAAATATTGGCAGTGGTTCGTGGCAACTGACAAATAACTTTGGTCTCTTAATTACTCAGATAGCAGAGCCCAAAGGCTCTCAATGTGGTGGTTTCATGATTCACCCCTATGGTGGATGAGCTTATTAATTATTTTACAAAGTTAGATAATAGAAAATTGACTTAAACCTGTTGTGGTCTCATAAAATGCAACTTTAAATTACCATTAGGCATCCTATCGTTTGGAAAGATTTTTTATGCCATTGCTTCTGCGGTATTACTCAGGCTTTTCTGATTGTAAACCTTACACTTGCTTGAAGTACATATTTCTGAGGAGAAATTTTACTTGATGAACAGGTGATCAGTGACACTGCAGACATCTGAGTGACAAGGGTTTGTTGATGCTTATTGGATCTGGTTTAAAAGAATAACATGATGATTATTAAGCCAGCGAAGCAATGAATTATGCGATACTCAGTTTCATTAGATGACAGCCAGCCATCTGCAAGCGATTTTGTTTCTCTGCAACTAAAGGTTTCAGAAACGAGTTAGAGGTCACACTTCATATTCTTTCTACTTTCATGGTAGGCAGATATTTATACGATAAATCACTTTTATTTATTGGTTTCGTCTGTAATTTTTGGGGCATGGTGTGATTTTGCTGCTGAGAATCCAAGGGGAGGCATGTGTTGCTGGTCAATTTATCACAGTAGATTATTGGTGTTTGATTTAAAGGTAATATTAGTTACTTGAGGAGGAAATAAAACCATTTGAAAAAAAAGAGAGAAAAATTTTATACACTTAACCTTTTATGTTTAAAGTTTTTTATTTTCAATTAAATTAAGACATGAGTATCATTTACAGATTATTTATTTTGTAATAAATTCTTTTTATTAATATTTTTAGCACATTAAAATTTACTGGTTTTGATTTGATTATTTAAAAGTATATTAAGTATATATGATTATGTTTTTAAGTCTTGTCTTTGCTTGGTATTCAAAAAAAAAAAAAAAACCTTTCATCAATCATCAACGTCTAGAAGACGACACACAATGTTGGCCCAGGTTTATTTTAGTCAATATCAAGATGAAAAATCTTTGATTAGCGCGGGCTTGCCATGGAAAAATAACAAATTTTAAATTTAAGATTATGTAATTTTCAGGTCCTCAGATCCGTTTCAATTATTGCTTCGGTTTTTGAAATTTATATTTTTATCAATTTAGTTTTTTTAAATTATCACTTTAGTCTTTTTAGGTTTTGAAGCGCATAGATTTTCAAATTAATTTGGTGTGTAAAGTACTCTTTGTTCTTGTTTCTTAAAATTAACAAGTCTTTTCTTTTTTTTTTAAATAATTATATTTTTTTTATTAATCTATCTAGTTATCATGCTTGTTAATTCAATATTTTGTTATTTATATCAATAGGTTTTAACATCATCTTTTCAAGTAATAAGGGTCAAATCAATAATTATAATAAACTTAAATGATCAACAACAACAACAACAATAAGTATTTATCCCACTAAGTGGAATCAGTTGTATGGATTGCAAGATATTATTGTGTTTTATTATTTATTAAGCTTTTAAAAATATTAATTAAAAGATTGCGTTCAATAACTTTCAAGAGTACTCTCTTAAGTCTTCTTTTATTCTTTTTAATAAGGCTTAAAATTATTCTTTGCTATTCCGTCAGAACCTAGCATTTACCATCATATAATATAACTGATTTGATAGCAGTATGATAAAACTTTTCTTTAAATTTATTAGGCACCTTATGAAATAATCATTTTATTATCTTTTAAGACTTTATAAGCCTTGAAAAAATAAAATTCTTTTGAGACTTTATTAGGCACCTTATGAAATAATTTGATAGACTTGAATCCATCAAATTTTTTACAAGACTCAAGTCAAAATTGTTTAAGAATCTTTTTGTTGTCTGCTTAATTGTGTACTTTTCAAGCCTGTTTCATATTTATCTTTTCAAATAATTAATTAATGGTCAAAGCTTGAATAATCATGCTCAATAATATCCTCTACAGTAGTCTTGATTTTAGAATTAGATTTGTGGACAACTCATCCAATAGAATTGCTTTTCCGGCATAGTATTGAAAGAAATAAGAAATTTATTTCTTAACCCCCCTTTGAACTACCCCAAGTGCATCTCAAGAGGTTTAAATCTTGATTGAAAGGCATTTGGTTCAACTAATCAAGAGAATTGAATTAATTTATTTTAGAATCTTGAGTTTGAATCTTATGATATACAGTTACATACTATTGTATAATGGTCCTATATAGCGAGGGTTTGGATTAGTTTGAACAAGAGGCAGTAATACTCGGGTTTTTTAAGATACCTAGTGATGGAAATAAAAAAAGATATTTAAATTTAAATCTTATTTAATCTTGGAAAATTATTATTTCATTTCAATGGTGGTGAGAAAGATTTCTTATTCAAAATTTTAAATTTAAGCCATATGAATGGGAAACAAGATGTTGGGAGAACTTTTCCTCATTTAAAGCCCAATTTGTCTCACTTTATTAGTTAAAAGTAGGAAAAAATGGTAAGAAGGACCATGAGACCGATATTTTGGAAAGGAAAAAAAAGATCAAAGTCCTTGAAATGAATTAAGATCAAGTATATTAAGGTTATAATCTTAATTCACTTGAAGGATCTTAGCCCCTTTTTTTTTCAAATAAATCTACCTCTTGATTTTTCTTATCAATTTCTACGGAATGAGTTGTTGAAAAAAAAAAATCCATGACCAACGAACTAGTCATGTCTTATACCATCATTACAAAATTCAAATACTAATTTGCCCTTGTGACCTTAAAATATAGGAAAAATTACTCCAATCTCGCACATGCCACCTAAATATAATAAATTCTGAAATCCCAAGATTATTTTAAAGTCGCATGCCTTTTTGTGACTGCTTGATAATTATTAATTATTATTGCTCATTTGTTAATTAAATAACTCTACTGACAATGTTGAGTTATCCATTCTTGATAGATTAGACCTAAACATAAACTCAATTATAAAATGGGACATTATCAGAATATGAAAAAGTTTAGGTCATCAAGTGCAATGTAATTGGATTGTTGAGTGTAATATTTCCCTTAAGAATTCAAATTCATGAGAAAAAACAATTACCACACTCTTGTACCTTGAAAGACTATCCCATGTGAGTGGAAATTAAATACATATACATGAAACTAGACCTTCCACTTTGCATATTATGAGAACACAAACTTCTCTTTTTATGTGAATTTTGTTGTGTATTGATAACCGTATTCGAATGCAAAACTCTATTCCATGTAAGACTCAATTGGTGCAGCATATCATGTTTGTTTTCCTCATCTACTCATTGACAACTATCCAACAATAAATAACAACTTAAATGTAGCAAATTGACAACTTTAATTAATGATGGAATATAATGTGGAAAATATCTATGTACTAAAACATTTAAATACCAACAAGCATAAAAAGATTACAGACTAATACTATTATTTACATTAGTAATCACTAGTTAGTAATGATGCTACAAGAGTAGACTAGACCACGAAATTTTGAAAGTGTAAGCATGAACTAATTCACAAGGAGAAATACAATTAATTTTGCTACAAGAATTACAGAAACAATGTTAGCAAAGATGGTAACAATGTTAGCAAATATGGTATAGTTATTCGCTAGCATAAAAAGATGATATAAATATAATTATTAAAAGGATTAAAGGGCATTTTTTTCCTTAAACTATTCACTCACAAACCCTCAGTATCCTAAATTTTTATGTGGTGTAATTTTTTCATTTAATTTTTGAAAATAATACATTAAATATTTTGTTGTAAAAAAAGTTAACTTTGATAGTTAGTTAGACTTTAAAATTGTAGGAAATAATCTCAAAAATTATAAAAAAAAAAAAGGACCCATGAAATTTCACATAAGGTCCCTATGAGAAAATTAATGTAAATAAAGTTTCCTATATTACATATAAATAATAGGATACATGTGTTATTTCTTACCTGTGTAAAAAGCCAAAATAGGATTTTGACCAACCATTATTTTAAAAATTTAATTGATATTAATTTTCTTATAGAGTACTTATTTGTAATTTTATGAGTTATTTCTATAATTTTAGATTCTTTTTGAGTCAACTACCTATTAAAGTTTCTTTTTTTTTAATGACAGCGTGCTCAATATATCATTTTCAAAAGTTAAAAAGAAAAATTGTACCATATAAAAGTTTAAGATACTAAATGCTTTTAAGATAATAGTCTAAAAAGAAAAAAACCACCCTTTAACCCTTATTAAAATAATCAATATAACATGACTCATGAATTTAAGTTAGTTGTGAATTTAAATAATGTTACTTATAAATTAATGAAAAGTCAATTATAAATTAATAGATAGTTTTATTATTTTATCTATCGTCACTTATGAATTTAAAGATAAGTTGCTTGAGAATTTTAGGGAGGTCACTAATAAATTTATGTAAACTCAATTATAAATAAAATAAAATAATAATTTTATGAATTTATATATCACTTGTAGTTTATGGACAATCAATTATAAATATTAGGTTATTCATATAACTAGAATGCCTGAAAAGCTTAGCCCACAAAATTTTGCCTAGTCTGTCCCTAAAAAAATGTAACCTAAAAAGATTTGAATACGTTGAGACAGGCTAGTGTTCGAGCAAGGTCGGGTAGCAAGTAAGGTATGCTACTTTGTCCATTTGGCCCTAGCCGAACAATATATTTATATATATCTATATATTAATATATTTATAATATCCTTATGTTTTATATATATCAAATGTTGATGTTAAAATGTGTATTTAGTCAATGAGATGAGGAAGGACTTATAAAAAGCATCCAAATAATCGTTGAATCCTCTCATTGAAATTGTGGTTTTATTTTAAATATATATATATATATATATATATATAAATCATCCTTATGAAAGTTCATACTGATATTTTTATTATGTTTTAGTCTTGATGTTTCTTCCTTTCATTTTTTTAAGTAGATTTCTTTCTTTCTTATTATTTTTTTTTTACTTTGAGGCATATTAATTAATTTATAATTATTATTTTTTATTTTTTTTCTAGACGCTTCTCTTTTTTAGTGTATTTTGAGGAGATCAAGTATTTTTTCTAGATGCTCTTTTTTTCCTTTTACATCTAGGTCTTCATTATGTTTTTTTTTTTTTATAGATGCTACTCTTTTTATATTAATTAATTTATAACTGATGTTACCAATATATTTTCTCTTTCTTTCTTTCGTCCTTTCTTTCTTTAACCATTGTGTTGCCCTGCCTGAAATGCTTAGCATCTCATGGTCACATGCAACCGTTCATACTTCAAGCGGCTGTGGAATGTTTCTTATAAATATATGGAATATTAATAATCTTAATTATAAATCAATAGTTTGAGATCTTCTCATGTTTTTAAATATCTAAATAATGTTCCAAAAATTCATAAGTGGTTGTCCTTCAATTCATAAGTGAAAATACATGTTCATGAAATAATCTATTCATTCACAATTAACTTTTCATATAATTATAAGTGATTTTTTTTAAATTCACAACCAGTTTTCTTAAATTCATAAATGACTTTCTATTGATTATTTCAATAATTAAAAATATTTTAATTGCAAATAAAGAACATAGTTCTTCTATGTTATTTCAATATTCTCGAAGACTTTAATTGTCATTAAAAGTTTTATAAGATCCTTAATTATCATTTTCCCTCATATCTTTCTCCTTTTTTCCCTCTCTTTCTTTCAATTTTTTTAAAGACAAATTTAATCAATCAAACGGGCCCTAGTATTATTGTGGCAATCTAAAGCGCAACACAATCTTCATTTGAGCTTTAAGAAAGAAACAAAGGTTCTGACAATATATAACACGTAAAAAAAAAAAAAGGACAAGGACAAAAGTAAATAAACACCTGAAAATTCCATTGAAAAAAAGAAAAGAAAAGAAAATCACATTCTCCTATACCAATTCCCCACAATATTAAAAGAAAAAAAAAACATGTAAACCATATCAACACACTAACTAACTAGGTTAATTTTCTTGGGAAACTTTGGCATGGTAAAGGAATATTATTACCGTTGCCATCACCACCACTACGACCACCACTATCGACATTATCACCGGCGACACATTGATTGCCTATCACACTATCAACCAATTTCCTCTTCGGCCTTGCCTCTTGTAGCATCAACACAACATCTCTCATGGATGGCCGATCTGTCGGATTTCGACAAGTGCACAGTAATGCAATCCTGAGCATTTGAATCATCTCCTCCTTAATCGACGTACACTCAGCCCCAACATTCTTCTCCAATATGGGATCAATGCCTTGAGTTTTGATCTTAGACCTAACCCAATCCACAATGCTATTTCCATCACCAAACTCTGCATCCACTGATCTTTTTCCCGTCAAAATCTCCATGAGCAACACTCCATAACTATAAATATCACTCTTTTCATCTACTTGTAAAGTGTAAGCATATTCTGCAAAAGCAAACACGCCCTTAAGAAATAAAAATAACAATAATAATCCAAGCGATGCAGACACAAAAATAATAAGACAAGGAGTTTTGTTCTTTGAAGCCTTTTACTTTAATCAATGGACTAAAGACTAAAGTCAACATCGTTATAATTCTTAAAGGGATTTGAGAATTGACAATATTCTTTGTGGGTCCCAATAAAATATTTGTCGATCTTGTCAAAAAATAATATTAATAATTAATAAATAAATCAAAATTCAGGATTGTGAAAGAACATAAAGTAAAAGAGTCAAAAAGGACACTTCATGTCGTAGGCACACTGCAATGAATATGCACCGAAAGAAAGTTTCTGCGCCGTTTCTTTAATAAGTATGGCGTCTGCAGATCTTATCCTTCAAAGTTCAAAGTAATATTTCAGTTTTCACATTGCAAACACCTAATATTTCAACATAATATATTATATTTTTAAAGTTAAATCACGCTCCTTTCATTTAAAAATATAAAATATTTTTTAAAAATTAAATATTAAAAAATATAAAATATTTTTAATCTTTTAAAATGTAATTATTATTTTTTAAAATATCTCTATTAATAATAATTTTATATTTATTATAGGATATTTAATAAGAGTAAATATAAAAAATATATTAATTTAAAAGTAAGTAACTACTTTATTGAAGGTGAGATTCAATTAAAAATAAATTATATTTTTAAAAAGAACGAGTACATAATATTTAAAATTTTGATTATAAATGTTATTCTCAAATTTGAATAACTTTTTCAAAAAATTAAATTTATGCAAATAGGTTTTTCCCTTTTTTATTGCATTACCTGTTTTTTTTTTATTTCATTTACAAGAGCATGAAATATCAGAGGAATTATTTACCCTTTATTTAAATGTTAGGAAATTATTCGTATATGACACAGTTTAAAAAATTCATTTTCGCAAAAAAAAAAATTTAAGTCTGTTTATTGTCGTTTTTTTAATCAAAATTTTGTTACAAAGATTAAAATGGATTAACAATAAAAAAATTCTTTACATAAATTTAAAAATTTGAGGAGATTAATTGCAAAATTTTGGGAGTTTGTGATTAGCTTTAAATAATTTTAAATTTAAAATATTTTTATTCACCTCGCATATTTTAGTCTAAAATTCAATTATCCTCAAACAAAAAATTCAATATATTTACAACATTTTACAGAAAAAAGGGATAATGAAATTTTTGATCCCTTAATTTTACTTCAATTATCAATTTGATTCCTAAAATTTAATTTTCATCAATTAAGTGCCTAAAATTTCAAAACTATGTACAACTAGTCTTTTTTATTTGAAGAGGAAATAACATCACAAAAACTAATTATATATGCAAGGTTATGAAATTTTAGGACCCTCATCAATAAAAATTAAATTTCAGAGATCAAATCAATAACTAAAAAAAATCAAATACAAATTTTATCATCCCTAAAAAAAATTATAAAAATGAAATTTTTATTTTTTTAAAGAAAGAAAATATGAAAAAAAAAGAGTAAAAAAATCAGAAAATTTAGGAGTGGAATTGAAGAGTGTCTCACCTGGTGCTATGTAGCCGTACGATCCAGCAATAACGGACATAGATTCATCACTCTGAATCAGCTTGGCCACTCCAAAATCTGCCACTCTGGCTTCCATCTCACCGTCCAATAATATGTTACTAGGCTTGAGATCGCGGTGTACGATCACTGGGTCACAGTCATGGTGAAGATAGCAGATCCCTTGAGCCACCCCGAGGGCTATCTTGTACCTCGTCAACCAATCAGCTACCAGATTATTATTATTATTATTTCCTTTATTTTTTTCATGCAATAAATCATCTAAATTCCCATTGGGCATGTACTCGTAGAGCAGCATCGTACACTCGCTGTTGCTGCAACACCCTAACAATCTCACTATGTTCCGATGCCTCACGTTCCCCAACACTTCAACCTCCGCTAGAACCCCTCTCCGCCTTCGGATTATGTTGCTGTTCTCTTTAGGCTTTCCCCAGAGCTTTTTGACGGCTATGATCTCACCACCTGGCATTTCTACTTTGTATACTGTCCCTGTGGACCCCATCCCTAGGATCTTGTTGGACATCGACAAGCACTCGATCACGTCCTCGGCCGTGAAATTCAAACGCTGGAACGCCGTCAGTGTCCAAGGCCCAGCCTCTCGGCGGTCGCCGCCGCCTCCGAATCCGCTGCCGTAGTTTGCGCGGAAGCAGCGAGTGCCTGCAACGAGAGCGAAAAGGCCGATTCCGAACGCTGCGGCGATGATCCAGACGATCGCGCCGGCGGTTTTCTTGGGCTCTTGTCTGTTATGAAGCTCGACGTCGCTGCTTGCAGTGAGGGCGTCCGCCTCTGCTGCGCACGGTTTTGCCAAAATTCCGCCGCAGAGGCCGTCGTTGCCGGTGAATGATGATGGGTGGAAGGTTGATCCCGCAGAGGGAATAGGTCCGGTGAGTAGGTTGTAACTGACATTAAAGTTTTCTAAGGTTGTGCAGTTGTTGAAATTGGAAGGTATGGTACCGGTGAGGAAGTTGTGTGAGAGATCGACGTCCGTGATGGATGGAAGAGCAGAGATTTCCCAAGGTATTATACCTGTGAGGGAATTGTGGCTCAGGTTCAATTGAAGGAGCTTCTCGCAATGACCGATGTCCCAAGGAATTGTACCATTCAGAGAATTTCCGTGCAACTCGATTCTGTAGATGTTCTGGCACCCGATGAAATCTGGAATTTCGCCAATGATTTTTGATGAACTTGCAGAGAAAATCTGTAGATTGGAAGCGTTCCAGATGTTGCTAGGTAATCGGCTTTCAAACGAATTTCCAGAGAGGTTCAAGTACTGTATTTTAACTGCATTGCCAAAATCTTCCGGAATTTGACCTACAAAGTTGTTGTTGCTCATATCAACGTAGCTCAGGTTCGGAAGGAGACCGAAACCGGATGGAATCGAACTATTGAGTTGGTTGTTTTGGATTCTAACCCTTGTTAGTGAAGTACAGTTCACGAGTGATGCTGGAATTGCACCATCAAATTTGTTGTCGAAGAGGATGAGCTTGACGAGCTTGTTTCCATTGCAAACACTTGGAGGGATAGGACCAGAAAGTGAATTGGTGGACACGTCAAGTTTCTGGAGCAAACCATTTGAGCCAAGCATAGGTGGGAGAATCCCAGTAAGAGAATTGTTAAATAGCTGCAGAGTATTGAGGTAGGGAAGTTCACCAATCCCTTGCGGTATTTCACCCGTCAGCTTGTTTTCCATTAAGCTCAAAATGTTAAGATCCATCAACAATGCAACTTCTTCAGGGATGGACCCAGTGAGCTCATTATCTGACAAATCAAGAGCCGTGAGTGCTTTCAAATTGCCTAAAGTTGACGGGACTTCACCAGTGAACCGATTCTTGAACAGCAACAATGTTTCCAGCATGGTCAAGTTTCCTAGTTCTGGGATCACAGAGCCAGAAAGATTAGCAAAAGAGATATCTAAGTATTTTAGACTAGACAAAGAGGTGAATTCCACTGGTATTCCTCCCGAAAACTGGTTGTATCCAATTTCCAAGCGTTCAAGCTGTGATAAGAAGCCTAACTGAGGTGGTATTAGACCTTCCAACATATTTCCAGCCAAATGAAGAACCCTCAATCTAGGGAAACTGCCGTAAGTTGAAGGAATCCTATCGCTGAAGTAGCTGCCGCCAAGGTTGAGCTGCTCAAGAAACCTGAGTCTGATGAATTCTTGAGGTAAAGGGCCAATGAAGTTGTTGCTGTAAGCATTGAAGATTCTCAAGAACTTGAGCTTCGAAATCCCAGGTGGGAAAGTTGAGTTGAAGGAGTTGTGGCTGATATCTAGAACCCTGAGCTCTGTGAGTTCAAAAACTGCTGCTTGGAAACTTCCACTGAAGTCATTTCCACTTAGATTCAAGTGGTTTAAGGTAGTCAAATGCCTTATTTCCGGTGAAATTGTCCCTGAAAGGTTGCGATGAGAGAGGTCAATGGAGGTGATTTTCGCATTTTTTGAATGGCATGTGATGCCTGACCATGAACACCAAACTGGATCCTGGAAATTGGAATTTGAGAAGGTAGAAGAAGCGTCCCAGTCATGGAGTGTATTTAGAGGGTCTTTGATGGAAGATTTGAGTGAAAGTAGAGAGATGAGCTGGAGTGGTGGAGTTGAAGAAGCAGAGAAGACTAGGTATATTTGGCAGAAGAAGGAGAATGTGAGAAAGAGAAGAAAAGATTTCATGGTTTTTGGGCTGTGGTGAGTGAGAGTAGTGTGGTGTCTAGGGAGGTAAATTTAAGGGAATGAAGGTTTGGATGAGGAAGAGGATTGCTTTTTTGGAGTGCTGGGTGGAGAGGGAGTTTCATGATGATGATTTTCTTCAGTGGGTTTTGTTGGTGGACATGAAAGAGAGATGGAGAGAGAGAATGAACTTCTTCTACTCCATCTTCTCTATCCCTCTCTACTCAATACTACTCTCCACTACAAGTAGTCTTCTTTATTTGCGGTGCAGCCTAAGTTCTCACTTTCACTCTCCTAGATTTCTCTCTTTTCTTTCTTTATTTTGCCTCAGTATTATACCTTTGTCTGTACACAACACTACTGTTTATTTTCTTGGAATTCTTTTCCACCTTTTCTTTTTTGCTCCCACTTTTCATCATTCCCTTGCTTCCTTTTCCTTTGGCTAACAAATTGGTAAATATGCCAAACAGTGATCATTGTCTCTCGCAGGATCCAAGAAAGACATATCAAATTCCCACCATATTCCCTTCCCCCCATACTACTATTTTAAAATAACCCCAGTTTTCTTTTGCTTTCGTTATCTATTTCTTGTTTGGCCAAATTAAAAATCCTCTGTATTTTTCGTTTCCAGATAGGCTTTAGTTTGGAAGTCGTTCTTGTATTGTAGTATCTGATCACGTATGTTTATCCACTGGTATTTACTTTTATTTACTCCCATTTCTTGTGTAGACTTCAATTTCCATGAACTTGAGAAGCATTGATAAAATAAATCAAAATTTGCACGACAAATATATAGCATTTCATCATAATTTGTACTGTTACTGACTGTGATGTAGAAGTTTCAGACTTGCATTGAATTCACTATGACCGTTTTTGTGAGTGTCAATGCATTTATAATACATTTCTTTAATACTCTATCAGGCTTTTTATTATCTTCGATTACGCATGTTGGTCCACTGGTTTTTTTTTTTTTTAATTTCTCCGAGGTATCTAAAATCTAAATAGTGAAGTTTCATTTAAGGGGCTGACATATTCCAACAAGTACTTTTCCACATGTATAATTCAGAAATCAAACCCTAGTCACATGCTTAAAGGACTCAAAAACTACCGTTTGCGGTACAGCTTGTTGGTTGATCCACTAGCCACTAGTCTTTACTTTTATTCAATCCCATCTCTTGTGATGACCTCAATTTCCATGAATTTGAGAAGCATTGATATAAAACAAATCAAAATTTGGAAGGAAAAAAAAAAAAAATATATATATATATATATATAGCATTTCATCGTAATTTGAAGTGTTACTGAACTGTCATGTAGAATATTTCAGACCAGTATTGAATTCACTATAACTGTTTTTCAGAGTATCAATGCATTTGTAATAAATTTCCCTGTTACATGTGCTTTTTGTTCCCACTTCTATTTTTCAAATGTTATTTCAGGCACTGGCTCTGTCTTTTACATTCCTTGGTTCCAGCATGGAGATTCAGGTCAGAATCTGGTCCTAAACTGAGAGGTGTGGACCACAAAAATACTCTTAAATTTTATACCAGCATGTCTTGAGGATTCCAATCAAAGGAGACATGGTCCATTTTATTTATTTGAGAACCAGTCACTCATGCCTTATATTTAATGTGGAGATTTGGGACCAAATTTTTGTCATCATTAAACCCTTATTTGCACATATACGAATTCAATGGCGTAGTAATGTTGCCAAACTTTTTTTAGTTAGAACTCATTAAAATTTCTTAGACCAGCCAGAACATGACAATCTGCACAAAATTCCAATTTTTCTATCTCTTCTTTATTTTTCTTGTCCATTTAAAACTTTAATTTAATTGGTTCTCACAAAACTTGTGCTAGCGTGGAGGCAAACCTATGCTCATTAATAGAAAACACACTAGACATGTTGCAAATAATTGAAATAATAATAATTTGATGTATTCTAGACTTAGAATCTTACATAGAATTATTAATTTATTTGCTATGAAAATGAAAAGAAAATGACAGTGTAAATGAAAGTAAATATTAAATAATTTTATTTAATAGAATATAAAAACAAATTGTGCCTTTCTATTTATTATTTGATGAGATAAAAACAGTGCATGAATAAATAAAATTATGAGAAGATGACTCTCATGTCTCTACTAATAGTGTTAAAATAATGAAGACGAAAATGATATGAAATTCAAATAAATTAAAATAATATTAAATGATTTCGTGTTTTTACCAATGGGGCTTAATATATCTCATTCTTTCATGTTTGCATATCAACTATCAAGTGACATCCCATTATCTAGATCATATATAGCTAATAATTAGATAATTTTTTCTATGCATATTTCTGTTTATAACTTATGAAAATTATGAATTTTTATAAATTTAATTACTTATATTGATATATTCATTAATATATTAATATATTGATTTTTTTGTGAGTACAGACCTTCCAGAAATGTATCAATAATTTAAGAGTTCATTAAAGACGTGGCGCGCATGTATATGTAAATAAATGAAAAAAAATATTTGTACAAGTTCTTTTACTTGCCTGCATTAACAAATCTTTGGATTCTTTTATCATCGTTTGAAAGAGATAAATTGAAAGATGAGTGGGTAATAATTTCCAACATTAGAAATTAAGAAAAAAAACCCTTTAAACTATCGAATTTTTCCTCATTAATTATCGAAACAATTAGCTCAAAACACTAATTTTTTACCAAAAAAATAATAAATAGGGAATATACTCGCTTAGATTTTGTCGCTTTGGAGCACAGTTTTGACTTAAGAAAAGCAAAGCCATGATGAGAAATTACTAATTTGCATCATTAATTATGTTAGTAAAGTAAAAAGGAAATGTTATTGAGATAAGAATAAAAGCTTCAAACACAATCATCTTCTTCCCATTTTCTTATTCAATTTTGCAAACCGCCATCCAACATCTTTTTTCTTCCTTTAAAGTTCATGTCTCTCGTTATCTTTATTGTCCCTCTTATTGCACCTCACTGCCACTTAATCTTGATTATAATTCATCTGTTTCAAACTATAAGATACATTCAGATAAAATTATACATACTAATAAAATTTATTAAATAATCTTTATAACTTTATTTTTTAAAAAAATATAAATTTTAAAAAATGCTTTTTATTTAATGCTCCATTTATAAAAGAATATAATAAGAAAGGTAATATTAAAAATATATTATTAATAAAATTTTATTTTTATCAAAGTATGTTATATTTTGAGATATCAAATTTTTCTTAAAAGTGTCTTATAATTTAAAAATAATAATTTTTTGTTTATCGTGCAAGACAATTAATTGAATAATTGAGTATATACGTGATTTGTGTCATCCAACATCTTTTTGCTTCCTTTAAAGTTCATGTCTCTCGTTATCTTTATTGTCTCTCTTATTGCACGCTGCCACTTAATCTTTGATTATACTGTAATAAATAATAAAGCCCAATGACATCATGTAATTCATGTAACACTTCATCTAATGAAATAGGACTTATTGTTATTGTGTAAGAAAATTAATTGAATAATTTGGTATACACGTGATTGTGATTGTGCAATCCCAAGTTTTAAGTGAGATTTTTATATTTATTGTTGGAATTGAATATAAAGATATTGTCTTTCTTTTTTATTTTTTATTAAAATTTCTCCTATAAAATTATGTGACAGGGTGGTGGAAGATGTGGTGAAGGTTCAAGGTTGAAATAATGAAGGGTGTTCTGATAAAATCACATAAAATTATACTAAAACGTCCTTTGGTATAAATAACAGAATGAGGGTGACAAATACTTAATCTTTGAAAAAATTAATAAAACTAAGATGATAACAAGGATATAATATGCATTATATACATTTATTTTGTGTCATCAAAACAATTATTTTCTTGAATCACCAGCCAATAATAATTGCAAGAGTATGCTCATATAACAAGAGGGTAAGAAATAATTTGGAAAAGGGGGATTTTGCATGATTTACAATTAATCGTGATAGTGCAATGAGAACATGAGCACATGACTCAATGAATTTATATATTTTTTAATAAAAATACTAAAAATAGTTATGATGCATGACAGCAGAAAAATAATTCGTTCAAATAATTCGGAGTAATTTTATTTAATTATATAGTTATTATTACTCCCTAGATTTTAATTTGAAATGGAACACCATGAATATACTCCACATGTTGGTATGATGTGATATTGAATAATTAAGATTACTTTTTTATTTATTTTTTTATTCATAATAGTACCTAGCTTAATCAAAACATCTCTTATACTATCAACTTATGCTTTTGAATATGATTCTAACTAAGGTGCAAGATTTAAAAGGGAATAACGTTAAAGGACAAAACATTTAATTAAACTTAAATAAGGATGAGAAGATCTGAAAATTCAAAGTTAGGACAAAAAAAATAATGTGAGAATCTTATTTATAAGCGGTCTATAATTATCTTTATAAACTCTCTTTGAGTTTAAAAACATGCTCTAATCTTAATAAGCTTTTGGAATCTAATTTATCTAAATTTTTATTATAAAAAAAAATATAATTATATTATAAGTTTGTTTGGTTTAAGAGCAAGATGAGCAAAGTTTTGATTATCTATTTTAAAAATTGATTGTATAATATTTGATGAGACAAAAAGTAATATATAGAAAAAAAAAGAGCTTCTGACAAATTATTTTTATTTTTTTAATATTTTATTACTTTTTGTGAAGGCCTGAAGGGGTCGTTGATTAGAGAAATCTAAATGAAACAGATTTCGTTGTCATCTATGAGAGAGACTGATTTTATTCATTGCGAATTTAATAATGAAGACAATAAATCGGGCCAAAATAATAGTGAAGACAATAAGTCAATAATAATGAGAAGTAAGGACAATAATTCAGGTTACTAAATTTGATACAAATAAAAGACAAATTAATTGGAAATACAGAAAGCGATTCATCAACCTCTCATGAATATTTTTGTCGTCGTCTCATGAATATGGGAATTTCATTTTATATTATATTCTTTTTTAATATTTTATACACTCTTCAAAATTGTTTCCTTATTATTGAGATTTATTGTAAATATGTTCCTTTTTTTATTTCATATGAATTTGATCATTTTATTTTCTTGAATTTACTTTTAAGAAAGATTATTCTTTTACATTTAGATTCGAGCAAAGAGCTACGAATCTGTTTATCCAAAAAACAAAAACAAAAACAAAAAGAGCTATGAATCTCTATAAATTTATAAATGAAAAAATTATATTGGATAGCTATCTTCATTTTTTAACTGTCAATAATGTTTATATATAAAATGTAAAATCCAGTAACAAATGAATTGGGGAAACAAAAAGAAAGAAATAAAAAAAGAAAAGAAAAGATGAATCATTGTGCGTAGGATTGGAGGATGAAATAGATGAATTATAGGGCTTGGTTTAAATAAAAAAATAGATCTCTTCAATTAATTAAAAATACTACAAATAAACTAGTAAGTATTCAAATAATAAAATCATTAACTCAAAATTTGACAAATACATTTTAAATGTAAATAAGTTAACTGTATGTGATCAATATAAAATAAAATACTCCCTCCATCCCAACTTATAAATACTCTTAAGACAAATTTGACTTTCCAAAATATAATATTCTTTAGTAAAAATAATATTTTTATTGATTATATTTTTTGAATATTATCATTCTCATTATATTTTCTCTCTTTTAATATTCTTTCATGAATGAAAAATATTTTCAAAAATTTATATGTTTCTTTTGAAAAAAATTATAAAGGATATTTAATGAACTTTATTAGTAT